TACAAATCTAAGAAATTATATACAAGATTGGCACTGACATCTTATAAATTCGCAATGTTTTAGATGTAACTTAAATTCTGCTAATGTCGATGCAGATTTTGCAGGGAGCGGTAAATTGTTCCATACATGCCCTACAATATAGCTATAGAAATTATGCAAAAGAAAGAATAAAATTAAAGATTGTTCGAATTCAAGTCTCCTACGTTGGAGTGATCGCATTGATGCTAGTTCTAAAAGTTCGTCATAGGTAATATTGTTACCAAAGTTCATTACAGTTCTTAGACCGTAGCAATTGGCTTTTTCAAGTTTCTTGCACAATGTTTTGTTCACTCCAATAAGTAGTTGAGAACGGTATTCCATATTAGGTAAAACATACGCTTTGTACAGACTTGTTATAATATTTATCGGAACCATTCTCTTAAGGCGTCGTAGTGCAGCAATCATTCCATAGGATTTCTCTAATATCTCGTCAATATGCTGCTTGAAATCTAAATTTCTGTCCAGTGTCACTCCAAGTGTTCTCAAAGATTCGTGAATGTCTAATGGCTGGTTGTCAATTTTAAGGTTGTACGAATAGTCAGATTTCCCTAAGATCATTGTTTTTTTTTGCCATTGTTGATTTGCAAGAAGTTTTCTTTGAACCAATAGGATAATTTCTGTAGATCACGGTTAAGCGATTACTCTAATATGGCAGGACATGTAACAGATGAGTACTGGGTGGTGTCATCTGCATAAAGACGGAGTGATGTGTTGTCGACATACCAGTTAAGATCATTGATGAAAAAGTCAGTCTAAAGTCGCCTGTCGCCTGTCAGATAATTTAGTATTCAATTTTAATTCCCTCTTGGGAATTGTCCATGTTTCGTTTCGGCCATGCAATTCCCAACGGTGGAAGAATGTGATTTCGACCGGCAATTTTTATTTGACGAGTATGTGGCCATTTCTGATCGTTACGATTTAAATAATTGTTCGAAGTCGATGATGCACGATCAGTGGTCCAGGTCCAGTGACTGATGGATCATGATTGGGGGTGGGGGTATTCACTGATCGAACATGAAACATTGCAGTCGCTAATTAATCTTTTTCCCCAAACATTGTTGGCGAGATGGAGGGAGTAAAATAACGCACCCATCATAATTAGTGACCATAATAGTAAAACTACCACCAAATCGCATGAGTTAGCCCGAACAATACCTGCATTAATAAGACCGTTTCCTAACTGTTTCGATCATAATAACTTGCGTCTTCGAAGCAGACCGTCAGGTCATAATAATAGTAACTGTATCATTTTTCCGAGGGCACCACTTAAACGTTGTGGATCACAAAATGTATTTGTACCATCTATAATGTTGTCTAACATCATGTCGTTGGCTCCCAAAATTGAAGAATTACATGCGTATATTGCCAATGCAAGTGTGGATATTTTATGCATTGTGGAAACGTGGTTGCAAAATCATATTGACGATAACATTGTTTCATTACCCGGGTATAATTTAATTCGACGTGATAGACGTGAACGCATTCGCGGCGGTGTCTGCGTCCATATCCGTAACACGATTAACTTCAACATCCTGCATGACTTCTCAAGTAATGAGTTCGAAGCGTTATGGCTGGATTCCACCAGGGATTCCGCCACTTTTTGAATCATTAGTAACACTCGAAACAGGATTTCCAAACAGTGGGATAATCTTATCTGGTGATTTCAATAAATTGAACGTTCGTCTGTTAAAAAACAGTTTTAAATTGCGTCAGATTGTAAATTTCCCTACTCGTGGTAATAACATCCTCGATCTGATTTTAACTAATATGGAAAAATTTTATGATTCTCCAATTAAACGCCCTCCTTTTGGTCTATCCGATCACGTCACCGTAGAAGTTCAACCACTAAAAAGACCTAAAAATTCTGGAACAAAAGCGGTTGTAATGTCAAGGGATTTGCGACCATCAAAACGATTAGCATTTGGTAAATATATAGAAGAAGTTAATGTCAAATATTGGGTAGACAGTGTAGATTCGTGTGATGATAAAACGAAAATGTTGGACTCAAAATTTGTTTTGAGATTCAAAATTTGTTGTATATTCAAGCCCGGCTTCAGTGTAATTTTGGTGATGACCGGAAAAGAAATGAAGATATTTTAAAAACTGGCCGTAGCCTCACGATAAAACTTTCTAAAAATGTTCTCTGTTTCATGTATTTTTATTTGATATCTTATGTACAAGCGAAAAAATAGAGTCAATAGGGGCTCATACACTTGTCTCTATAGTTTCATGTAAACATTCGAAATGTTTCGACAGCAAAGTAGCAACTGTTTTAGATCGAATGCACACGGCCAGCACACCAGGGACAATGGCAGGGTACTGAAATAGAACGTCACTAAAAAATTATGTATGATTAATTTAGATCATGTCCATTTTCAACGTAAAATAGTCATTTATTTTGTACCGAACATTTGGCAGTATTTACACAATTGTGCCTTTTTGTAAACACGCGTTGCGTGTATTCCACGCAATTGCGTGGCTCATTGTGCTCGCGCATGCTCAGACAAATTTCCTACCTGTTCATACACACAGTTCTGATCAGTGATTTTATTAATTGCAAAAGTTTTAACTGTTTATAAAATGTAAAAACTTTGTGTGTATATACCAATGACGAACTCAAAACAATCATTTTCAAAGAAACTGTAGAATATCAGTTTAATTGCAGTTTACACAAAAACTTATGATATCGGCTGAATATATGTCAATGTAGTATCGGATATTTAATCTTGAATAAAAAATTATCTTAGGACTTGGATTTTCTATTTGGACCGTCTGCTTACATTTTGAAACATGAAAAATTTTCCGGATACGATATTTTTCCGTTGTTCATTCCATTTTTCCCTAATGTTTTCGTAAATTTCTCAACATTAATTAATGTTTTTTTCTTCCTATCGAAATTTATGTTTTGCCGACTACGAAAACAATTTACCGACTGGGATTCAATATTTTGCCGACTTCCTGACTCTTCTCCTATGAGTCCGCATCGAGAACTGAACTCACGAACTCGGAGGTGAAAGGCGCCGACGACTGCGTCACCGAAGCCCCAGTCGAATAGTGTTGCTTTAGTATGGTGTTTTCAATTTAGTTTTAGTTCAGTTTTAGTTTAATGTTGTTTTAGTATGGTGTTTTCAATTTAGTTTTAGTTCAGTTTTAGTTTACTGTTGTTTTAGTATGGTGTTTTCAATTTAGTTTTAGTTCAGTTTTAGTTTAATGTTGTTTTAGTATGGTGTTTTCAATTTAGTTTTAGTTCAGTTTTAGTTTAATGTTGTTTTAGTATGGTGTTTTCAATTTAGTTTTAGTTCAGTTTTAGTTTAACGTTGTTTTAGTCTGGTGTTTTCAATTTAGTTTTAGTTCAGTTTTAGTTTAATGTTGTTTTAGTATGGTGTTTTCAATTTAGTTTTAGTTCAGTTTTAGTTTAATGTTGTTTTAGTATCGTGTTTTCAATTTAGTTTTAGTTCAGTTTTAGTTTAATGTTGTTTTAGTATGGTGTTTTCAATTTAGTTTTAGTTCAGTTTTAGTTTAACGTTGTTTTAGTATGGTGTTTTCAATTTAGTTTTAGTTCAGTTTTAGTTTAATGTTGTTTTAGTATGGTGTTTTCAATTTAGTTTTAGTTTAATTTTTGTAGTTTAATGCAGTAATTTATGTTTAGTTTTAGTTTAGTTCTAGTTTGAAAAAGGAATTTCTTTTTAGTTTTAGTTTAGTTCTTGTTTCAACAAGGATTTTTTTAGGGACCGGTCATTATTTATGGCCGGGGGGGGGGCACTGAGGAGAAACATTTTCTTGGCCAATTTTATTAGTATAAACCCAACCTTCAAAACAAATTTTTTTCCCCACCCAACCCTAGCACTCATTCAAAAATCGTAGACCCACCCTAACTTAATTTTGTCAATTTAATTATTTCAAAGCTAAATTGACTTATTTGAGAGAACAAAAAAGCCAACAAGTATGAACTCTGTCACTTTATTATGACTGTTATGGCAGGTTCAAATGGAATACTTTGCAAATCGATATATAAAGTAAATGATATTTATTCGATCCTAATAAGACAAATAATATAAATATTTTAGTATTTTCCGACTTAATGATTTTTACTTTACCCACCCCTTGGCTTGGTGAATTTTTATTCAACCCACCCATTTTCCACCCATTCAATTTTGTTTACCCACCATAAATAATGATCGACCCCTTAGTTTTAGTTTAGTTCTAGTTTGAAACAGAAATTTTATTTTAGTTTTAGTTTTAGTTTTCTCAAGTTCGAAACAGTTTAGCAAACGATTTAGTTTTCAGTGGTTCAAATAAATATGTACGAAAATGTTTGCGTAAAGGCCACTACTAGGCCAGGAAAGACCAAATATTATATATTCAAATCAGTAATTGTTTATTTCGAATTCAAAATTGCTTTATTTACCTCTTCAAGTGATTGAAGTAAATGATGCATTGGCTGCCTGGCAGGACTATACAAACTAAGACAACGTTATTTATAAATAACCCAATCTAAACCAGGGTCGAGGTTTTGAAAAATTGTTTCGGTTTTCCAGGAACAGGAAGTATAAAATCATAGGCGGAAGGCGGAATCGACGACAAATTTTATTTTTTAAAAAAACAGATCATAAACAATTAAACATACAATCTGTTGACTAATTAAATTCTGTCGTTTAGTTTTAGTTGTTGATGGTAATTTTGCTTTTAGTTCAAGTTTAGTTCTAGTACTTGCTGCTGATTTTGCTTTAGTTCTAGTATAGTTCTAGTAGTATTTATCTCTTAAATCGCTTTTGTTTTGGTTTAATTTTAGTATTTATCTCTATAATTTATTTAGTTCTAGTTAGTGTTAGTTGACTAAATTATTTTGACACGACTAAAATAGGGTTTTAATTTTAGTTCTAGTTGACTAAAACAACACTAGAGTCCAATGTATAACAAAACTGTTTGGGAACAACATAAAATACAAGTTTGATAAATGTTTACCATGGCCCGTCAGGAGGACCAACAACTGCCCCAACCAGAACTGCGATTCCTTTCTTCACAACATGCATTGTTAATGTATGATTCCCAGGGGTGACTTGTGTCCCAATTATCCTGACAGCAGTTTGTTCAGCGTTTACGTGAAGTTTAATATTAGTTCGCTTTGAGTAGTCGTTATCCAACCAAACATCCACTTCTCCACCGCTTGTAGAGAAACGTGATATTACGCCAACCGAACGTAAGATGTGAGGATGTCCTGCTACAACAGTAAACAAGATTGTCACTTCAGATCCTTTTTCTCTTGCAGAAAGCCCGCCATAAGCATCTTTACGTTCTTCTTTGCTTGAATAAGAAGATGTTTTTATTCTAATACCCTGAATATAGACAAATCCATTGGATTTAACATTTTTTAGCTGTAGAGTGCTTCGTAGCTCGGAGTTGTAATTAGGAGTTAAACTTGCCCAACATTGAGGTGTTGTAATGGCATTACTTAAAGTTCCAACTGAGGTGAATGGAGTTATATAAGATTGAACCGACTTCTTTAAAATTTTTACATTATGGATCAACTTCTTCAATATTCGCATGAATACCTGGACAATCATAAACGCAGTTTGCGCATGTCCCTTAGGATTAAGATGCATTGTCCCACTCGCATCTTTAAGATCGTACGTTTTAACCGTAGCAAAATATTTGCCCAATTTAAAGGAACAAGCCAAATTACGTAAATTAATTGCAGTTGTGTTGTAGTGATCAATGATTAGATCCTGATCAAAATCCATCAGATTCATGCATTGAGCTGGCTCACCAATTAAAGTATATAAATTAACAAAGAAGACTCCTGGTCTATTAGGGCGGTTTAATAATTGCCTTGTAAACTGCTCCAGTGGTAAGTTTCTCGGAATTGATGAATTTTGAAGATTTCCCACTGCATCATTTACTGAAAGTTCCAGAATAAACAAATCAACAACTTCGTTCGCATCTAAATATATATCATAACAGAACTGAAAGTATGTACTTGAAGTCCCTCCAATGGAAAGATTCTTTACTTTTAACACGGACCCACTGACTGGAGTAATGTTTTCATCCCACCATTGTTGTAATAGGATAGGAAATAGACCAGCTGCCGTGTTCGATCCACCATAAACAACAATTTTCACAGATTCTCCTTTGAAAGCTTTTAGTAAAGTAGATTCCAAGCGTTCGTTATCAGGGTTTTGAATTGCTGGCCTCGTGTTATTGAAGACTATATTAAAACTTTCTAATGCTGGGAATTGTTCTTGAACAAACCACTTAGATTTTTGGTGTTTCGATATTATTTTGTTAAACAAATAAATTTTCCTTAGTTTTCTTTCATAATCAGCGAGTAGAACATCTTCTCTTGAGCTAGAAATCACTTGTTTGGATATAGTTACGATACAGATTACAAAATATATAGAGTTGTACAACATATCTGTTTTAACATATAAGCTTAGAGAATAAAGAAAGACATTCAAACATTCTCCATATTTATAGACGTTCACTTCATGATTGCACACTATTCTAGGTGTTAGCTGTCAGAAATAACAGGTCAGTGACTAAATATACAGGTGACAGTAAAGAATATGCATGTAGTTGAGTGTGATAAACCAAAAATTCGTTCCAGACAAAGGATCCAAAAATGGATTCAACAGTCTACCTTTTTAATTCAGTATGAGAATTAATATATAGTATAGGATAGAAAATGATGAGGTGTGTTCAGTAGGATATAAACTCCCGAGAATGGCCGTCTGATTACACACGTAAAGGTCTCACAACTTGTCAACAAGACGTGTTCGCAACAGGCTTGTAGCAAGCTTGTCGCCAGGTTGTAACAATGCTGTTATTTTATTAAGTTGCTACAAGGTTGTCACTCATAAACTAATTGACAAATTGTTGAATTGCAGGACGATAACAAGTTATTGGAACAACTTGTAAGACGTCTGTTGAGCTCAGCAACCTTGCAGCAAGTTGTGAACAAGCTGGGAATAAGCAGTGCGAACACATCCTGCTGACAAGTTGTTGGAACAGCATTGCTACAAGTCTGCTGCAGGTTTGTTACAACTTGTGCGTTTTTACATTGTGTAATTCGAGGGACTCTATAATCCACTTAGACCATGATTACATCCACGATGAAATTATTTCTCTTATTTTTTTGGGAAGTAGTTTTTATTATATGTTTTTTTTATCGATTAACACTCGCAGTGAGTTTATTGAACTGATTAGTATGCTCAACGTCAGCGAGTAGTGTGCTCTATAACCTGTGTACAGCCGTTACTCTCGACGAACGCGCGAGAGAACTTCTGTGAGTTGGATGCATAATCCTTGTTCAGGTCACGTGGATAATTCCCAGATTTGAAGACCGCCTCTGATTGGACAGTGTTTTATTTGAATAATTTATGACAAATGAAGCTATTTCATTGGTTAATTGATAATTTAGCATGCGTTCAAAATAACAACACAAAAATTTTAAAATTCCAGATCAAGGTTTTGCATATATTTCTCGATGAAGAGATTTGTTTTGAGTGCGAAAAATGCTGAACAATGATCATTGTCGGCACGTCCGGTGTACAACTACAAGCCCAGTTCTTGGCGTACATATATATGGCGTATATTTGTTTACAAAGACAAACTATTAAATATAAACACAACTGGTTATTCAAAGGTGCATTTTAAAGTAATTAAAAGTTAACTGGCCAAGTAAGACGAAGTTAAACACATTACATGTAAAGAAAAATGCTTTATCTCGAGGAGTCGGGACATATAAACAGATTGTCAATTTATTAAATTGTCAATTACAAATTGTCAATTTCAGTCCGATAGTTTGTTGTATTTTATATATTTGTCAGCATTGTTCGCTGAGTGTCCAAACTAGACTAGAATTTTATCTTGATTTTCTTTCAAATCTTTGTATGCCCCGAAGGAAATCTTGATCTGGAATTTTATAATTTTTGTGTTGTTATTTTAATTAAACCCATGGTAATTATCAATTAACCAATGAAATAGCTTCATTTGTCATAAATTATTCAAATCAAGCACTGTCCAATCAGAGGCGGTACCCAAATCTGGGAACTATCCACGTGATCTGAACAAGGATTGTGCATCCAACTCACAGACGTTCTCTCGCGCGCTTCGTCAAGAGTAACGGCTGTACACAGGCTATGTGCTCTATAGCCTATAGAGCATATATATTAATAAGGCTTTGTTTTGGTTTGTTTATCTTTTGTTGAATGCTCATTAGTACGCTCTATATACATTGTGTATAAAAAGTATAGCCTTTCAAATTTAAATCAAGCATAACGCCGTATCCTATTGAAATATCATCTGACAAGCTATAATTGCTTCGAACAAGTTAGCGACCCGTAAAACAAAAGACTTTCTACTTATGCGACATGTACGAACAACTCAATGAAATACTCTGTACAGTACAAGCAGCATTAAAATGAAGTTATAATTGATCTCTTTTGGAAGTATGACATTTTTTCGTCGCGTTTCATCAACTCAAAGCAGTTGAGAACAATCAAATCACTTCTAATTATCGTTAATTTGAATTTGAAGGCTATACTTTTTTATACACACTGTAGAGCAAACTAATGAGTTATATAGACCAACTGTAAATGCCATAAAGGTCGCTACGAGACAGTTTTTTTGGATATAGACATAGATAGATAGATAGGTAGATAGATAGATTTATTTAACCACGCTAACCTCGTCAACTACAGCTGATTCCACGAGGGGCGTGTGAACAAGAAGTATACAGCAAATATGAAAAGTATTTAAAACCTATTTAAAAGTAGAAAATATAATATAAAATATATTAAGTATATGAGATAATAATGTATTTACAGATGCATATCTTTGCTTTAATTATCAATGTGAGCAGCGATTTTCGTCCGAAATGAAGAAAGGGATTTGCTCTCTTTAATTTCCTTTGGAATAGAATTCCAAAGGAATGATCCATCGTACATAAAACTTTTTTTGAAATTATTAGTCCGCGGTTGCGGTAAACAAAGAGTACTTGAAACGTTTCGAAGATTATAGCTAGTCATCTCACTTTTATAAGTGAATAAGTTAGTGAGTGATTGAGGGCCCATGTTATTTAATAATTTGTACATCATTTTTGCCTTGGCTTTCTTCCTTTCTAACCGAGTTCTGATTACTGAGTTCTGATTAGCTGAGTGGATGTGATCATGGTCTAAGTATTTCTAAATCAGTGGATCTGTTGCATCTTCAATTTCCATAGTTTCCTCGAATCAATGTTTGTTTTCATAGATTTCTCGTTTGAAGTAATTCTGTTATTGAATGATGTTGGGTTTATTTCTCATTTGTCTTGAAACACAGGAAAGTGATCGCTGAGTGAAAGTGGTGGGATATGGATAGAACTATAGAAGCAACATTTCTTTCAGATGAACAGTAAATATGATCAATGAGGGTTGGGGGTGATGTTGAATGTCTCATCTACATACCGAGTTTCCGTTCTAGTAGGCACTGTTACTAACTGCTTCGATCCAAGGTGACGAACTTTTTTAGAAAACGTCGTGCACGTAGATTTTGGTGATTGTAGATCAATGTTAAAATCTCCGAGTATGTATTTTTCTTTGTGTTCTGATGTCATTTTGTCCATAATTTCCAGTAGGCATGTATCATGGACACTGTCCGCGTTCAAAATTAAGATCGGTGATATAAAATGTGGTTTGATCTCGACACACATAGATAGACTCGACGTTTTAAGATCTCAAATCTATTCTTTGGATATACGATATCATTGTGGATATAAGTAGTAATGCTTCCTCCAGAAGTAGTAGTAGATCCGTCGAGTCTTACGAACGTATAGTTTGTGCAAGATGTCAGAATGACAGAACATGAATCGTATAGTTTTTTATTAGGAGCGCCTT